TTTTTTTTTTTTTTTTTTTTGTAAGCTTGATTTGTGGATGTTAATTGTGTTATCAAGAGTGGTTGATAGGAAATGTGGATCCATGTACATACAGTTTTTTTTATGGCTTAGGAGAAAAGAGTTCAAACACCAAACCAAATGATATTATTTGACATAGGCTTCCTCCATAAAGGGATTACAAACAAATGAAACACAACCATCCACTAGCAAAAGAAGGTAGCAATTGGGGAACAGACAAATCTAAAGGGATGATAATAGAGTTAAGTAACCCCAAAAAAGGAACTTATTCTCTGCAAAACACACATTCACCGAACAGGGGAATTTGATATGACATTGATCACCACAAAGAAAAAATAATAATGGGAAAGGATGCCCAACCACGTGCTAGACCAATGAAAACTTTAGCATCTCCAACTCCACTCGATAATATACTGTAAAATGAATTTTGTTTCTTCATCACTCTATTTTTCACTCAATTTTACAATAAATTATAGAATGGAATAGAAGATGCTCTTAGACCTCAAAGTTTACCAATACAACCTACAACAATAAAATTGTAACCAACAATAAAGTTGAATTCCATCGAATAAACCTACAAATCTTTTATCCAATACACTAAGGAGAACCAACAAATTTGAGAGAGAAGGAAAATAACTTAAGAAGCCATAAGCAAAACTAATAGCAGAGGGAGAAGCTAAATAGAATCCAAAAAAGAATTTGCATACATCAGTAAAATGTCGTCTCAAAACGGAAAAATGAAATATCACTTAATTCAAGAGAATATGTCAATGTACCGGAAGAGACCAAAAAACGTGAAAAGTTGTAACTGATAATATTTGAGAAGGTTGTAACTATAAGTAATTGAGAAGGTGTAATTGAAGGAGATATGGATCTAGAGAGAGTGCTAGATCTCACACAAAGTGTGTATAGTTAAACCACACAAATGTAGTAGAGTGGTTGCGTGCTTGAAAAGATGATAAGCACTCTAGATTTAAAAATCTACCAAACTCAGATTTATCCGTTTGTGTGACCAGATGATACAGATTTTTAATTCTTATTGTCAATAACCTGATTTATCTGGTTCTAATAGATAGATCCAGGAGATCAGTTGGGCATCAGCATGCCGCATATATATACATTTGTTTCTTTTTCCATCATATTTATAACTCTATTATAGCTAAGGAGAACCAACAAATTTGAGAGAGTTAAGGAAAATAGCAGTAGAAGAAGCCAAATAGAATCCGAAAAAGAGTTTGCGTACATCACTAAATTGTCATCTGGAGATAGGAAAACGAATCATCATTTGATTTAAGAAAAATATGTCAAAATATCAGAAGAGACCAAAGAGTGTGAAAGAGTTGTAACTTGTAGTATTTGGGAATGTTGTAACTATTAGTAATTGAGAAGGCCTAATTGAAGGAGATATGGATCTAGAGAGAATGCTAGATCTTACACAAAGTGTATGTAGTTAAACCACACAAGTGTGGTCGAGTGATACAACATGCTTCAAACGTTGATAACCGTTTTAGGTTCAAAATCTACCAAACTCAGATTTGTCATTTCGTGTGACCAGATCATACAGATTTTTAATTCTTATTGTTAATAACTTAAATCTATCAAATCTAGATTTATCCGTTCATGTGACCAAATAATATAAATTTATAATTTTTATTCTTAATAACTTAAATCTACCAAACTCAAATTTATTCGATCGTGTTACTAGACAATATAGATTTTTAATTTTTCTTGTCAACAACCTAATTTATTTGAAATTGATAGATCGATCCAGGAGTTTAGTCACAATATTAGTCAGTTGGACATTCCCAAATATATTGGATTATCACAAAAAAAAATATATACACTTCTTTCCTTTTCCTCATATCTGTTACTCCACTACACCTCACACAAAAGTGTATACATTGTTCCAAGTTCTTTTACCAACACAGCACATGCATGGAGATTTCTTCCCCGAATAATCTCTACTTTCCTACCATCCATAATCAATCCAACACAAAAAAAAAAAAACTAGTCATCATAACATACTGAAAAGAAAACAAATTCATGTGCATACACTGATACATTGTTTCTTTTTATTTTATCTAAAAAGAAATCATCCAACCAAAAAAAATGTTAAAGAGAGAAGAAGTGTTAAACCCAACCATTTCTCTTTTGACTTGATAATAAAAAAAGACTGCCAACGCCATCCTTCTCCGTCGTCCCTCTCTCAAAATCCCAATTCATTTCGATTCGATTCGATTCGATTCGATTCATTCTCCGATCAAGTAAGCTTCTTCTCTGATTCCCACAGTAAAGCGATTGATTAACCTAATCGTTGTCTAATGTTATCACAAACTATTCATATACACAGTGTTATCGATTTCGATTTAGCTACGTTTAGGAAACAGAACGTAAATCGAGTTTGATCCGTTACAGATAAACCCTAATTTACAGGGAGAGAGAGAGAGAGAGAGAGCCGAGGCAAAATTCCAATCCATATGATGGAAGTCTGCAACTGCATCGAGCCACAATGGCCAGCAGACGAGCTCCTAATGAAATACCAATACATCTCCGACTTCTTCATCGCCGTCGCCTACTTCTCAATCCCCTTAGAGCTCATCTACTTCGTCAAAAAGTCCGCCGTCTTCCCTTACCGCTGGGTCCTCGTCCAATTCGGCGCCTTCATCGTCCTCTGCGGCGCGACTCACCTCATCAACCTCTGGACCTTCACCACCCACTCCAGAACCGTCGCTCTCGTCATGACTACCGCAAAAGTCCTCACCGCCGTGGTCTCCTGCGCCACGGCGCTTATGCTCGTCCACATCATCCCGGACCTCCTCAGCGTCAAGACCCGCGAGCTTTTCTTGAAAAACAAGGCTGCGGAGTTGGATAGAGAGATGGGGTTGATCAGGACTCAGGAGGAGACGGGGAGGCACGTTAGGATGCTGACTCATGAGATTAGGAGTACTTTGGATAGGCATACGATCTTGAAGACTACGCTTGTGGAGCTTGGGAGGACGTTGGCGTTGGAGGAGTGTGCGTTGTGGATGCCTACGAGGACGGGGTTGGAGTTGCAGCTTTCGTATACGCTTCGTCAGCAGCATCCTGTTAATTATACTGTGCCTATTCAGTTGCCGGTGATTAATCAGGTGTTTGGGACTAGTAGAGCTGTGAAGATTTCTCCTAACTCGCCTGTGGCGAGGTTGAGACCTGTTTCCGGGAAGTATTTGCTTGGGGAGGTTGTTGCTGTGAGGGTTCCGTTGCTTCATCTCTCGAATTTTCAGATTAATGATTGGCCTGAGCTTTCGACTAAGAGGTATGCTCTTATGGTGTTGATGCTTCCTTCGGATAGTGCGAGGCAGTGGCATGTTCATGAGTTGGAGTTAGTTGAAGTCGTTGCGGATCAGGTTTTAAGCAGACTTTGGAACTCAGTTTATGTCTGAGATTGAGCTTGTCTAAAGTCTTATCCTTTTTTTTATTTATTATAGGTGGCGGTAGCTCTCTCACATGCTGCGATTCTTGAAGAGTCGATGCGAGCTAGGGATCTTTTGATGGAGCAGAATGTTGCTCTTGATCTAGCGAGACGAGAAGCAGAGACAGCGATTCGTGCCCGGAATGATTTCCTGGCGGTTATGAACCATGAGATGCGGACACCGATGCATGCCATCATTGCGCTCTCTTCTTTACTTCAAGAAACGGAGTTAACTCCTGAACAAAGATTGATGGTGGAGACTGTGCTAAAAAGTAGTAGCCTTTTGGCGACTTTGATGAATGATGTCTTGGATCTTTCAAGGTTGGAAGATGGAAGTCTTCAACTTGAGCTCGGGACATTTAATCTTCATACTTTATTTAGAGAGGTAACACCTTATCTTCCTCCTCCTGCATGTACTTTTAGAAGTTATGGTATTTGGTTGAAAATTTCAGAATCTTGTTGCCAGGTCTTGAATCTGATTAAGCCTATCGCCGTTGTGAAGAAATTACCCATCACACTAAATCTCGCACCAGATTTGCCAGAGTTTGTGGTTGGGGATGAGAAACGGTTAATGCAGATAATATTAAACATAGTTGGTAATGCTGTGAAGTTCTCCAAACAAGGTAGTATCTCCGTAACTGCTCTTGTCACAAAGTCAGACAACCGAGCTCCTCCGGACTTTTTTGTGGTGCCAACTGGGAGTCATTTCTACTTGAGAGTAAAGGTTAGTATCTATGTGCCCTTCAAACAAAGTTAAAAACGTATTTTGGAAGATCTTACTCTTGACGAGTATTCAACTATAGGTAAAAGACTTGGGAGCAGGAATAAACCCGCAAGATATTCCCAAGCTATTCACTAAATTTGCTCAGACACAGTCCTTAGCGACCAGAAGCTCGGGAGGTAGTGGGCTTGGTCTCGCCATCTCCAAGAGGTTGAGCCCTGTTTAGAATCGTTTCTTTTCTTTCTTGTTTTCTTCTCTTATGGTACTGATAAACGTTTGCACATATGACAAGGTTTGTGAATCTAATGGAGGGTAACATTTGGATTGAGAGCGACGGTGTTGGAAAAGGATGCACTGCTATCTTTGATGTTAAACTTGGGATTTCAAACGAATCTAAACAGTCTGGTATACCAAAAGTTCCAGTCAATCCTCAGCCTGGAAATTTCGCTGGACTTAAGGTTCTTGTCATGGATGAGAATGGGTTAGTATAAGCTTGCCTCTCTCACCGTGTTATTTGTTTTATCTTTCTGCTGTTTGTTATCAGCTTTGATGTTCGCTTTTGGTCGCAGGGTAAGTAGAATGGTGACGAAGGGACTTCTTGTACACCTTGGATGCGAAGTGACCACGGTGAGTTCAAACGAGGAGTGTCTCAGAGTTGTATCCCATGAGCACAAAGTTGTCTTCATGGACGTGTGCATGCCGGGGGTAGAAAACTACCAAATCGCTCTTCGTATACACGAGAAATTCACAAAACGCCACCAACGGCCACTGCTCGTGGCACTCACTGGTAACACCGACAAATCCACAAAGGAGAAATGCATGAGCTTTGGTCTAGACGGCGTGTTGCTCAAACCCGTGTCGCTAGACAACATGAGAAACGTTCTGTCTGATCTTCTGGAACATCGGGTTCTATACGAGGCCATGTAAGAGGCATTGCTGGAGAGGGCACTCTCCCCTTAAAAACATCGAAAGCTGATGTTTCTCTGGTTAATGTGTACATATCAGAGATTGTGGGAGATTGTTTTGGATGATATTTTTAAAACAGAGGGAATAACGAAACACGAAAAAAAAAGTTAGACTGGGCTGTGTCGGATTAGGGTTTACAAAAGGAACAAGATGTTGACGGTAAAATGTCTACCATTTCTTGTTACATATCTGACTTGTGTTGTATCCTTATATATAGTTTACATTCTTATTAGAATTTGAATTGAGTAATGGACCTTTGTTACGTACATGTATAAGAACAACGGCAGCGGTGTTGTTTCCTTTCATCTGAGTTTGTAGCTAGAAAAAGTTCAGCTTTCTCTCCAAACCGGACATTTAACGACTGAATGATAATTCTATATAATATACAGTGATATAGCTCATCCTCTATAATATTCAGTTACATACATCATAATTTCTTTAAATTAAGTACTCTATAAAGTAATATATACTAAAAAGTTCTATAAATTAATATAATTTTATACCTCTAAATTAACTTTTTGATTCAATTAATATATAGATAAATTAATAATCTCTATAAATTAATAAAAAATTATAGTTTTGGTGTAATTTCAATATTATTAATTTATAGAAGTTTTACTGTACTATTTGATATTTTCGTATTTGAGTTGAACATTTTTTTATTTAAAACTGATATTATTCATCACTGAAATTTTCTTTAATTGGTTTTGTTCTTTCTTTCCTAGCTAAGATTGTTTCATGGTTAGTCTACAGTCATTTAGTCTAGTTAATATTGTTTGTAGTTAAAAAAAATATTCAAAATAATAAAAACTTTCAACTATATATAGATAGGTAGAAGTTATTTCTTTCCTAATTAGTTTTTTAATATTTTAATTTTTTAACTTACAAATCTTTAATATTTGTCAATCTCCGTCACTTAATTGTATTCGGAAGATGATAAACTTAATAATTTATAAATTAACGATTAAATACGAAAAAGATAATTAAAGGTTTTTTTCTAAAATTTGATCAAAACAGATTTTTTATAATTTAAAAAATATTCAGAGAAATTTGTCACCAATTTATTATTTCTTCTAGTTGTTATTGTTTACATACTAACTTATTAGTAGAAAGCTTTTATTTATACATTTTTCGTTCTTTTTAGTTTTTACTAAAGCGAGTACAGTATGTATCTTCAACGTACTCGTATTTAACAGCTCTTTTTGAGCTTTAAGCACTCATTCAATGAGCTAATATCATAATTACCCCATCTGATATTGACGCGTCGAAACCGCGTCATAGTAAAAGCTTCATGGACTTGGAAGACATATGGAGGAAATATGGAATGTTATCGTTTTTGGCATATCTATATATAGCTAAATATGTAAACGAATTTTATTTTAATTACACATTCTAGCTTCTTAAGGAAACAAATCAGTATAGAAAAGAAATATAATTAAATAATTAGTAAATATAAGAAATTTCGAGAAAGAGAAAATAAAACAGGAGGAGACCTATTCTTTGGGTTTGACTCCAATTTGAGGTGCTTATAAGAAAAAGAAAGTCACTTCAGAGGTTACGATGTCAGTCCATTACAGAATTTTCGGTCACACCAATTTCTTTTTAATCTAAATTTCTTGCATCTGAGGAAATACAAAAGCTTTTTACTCCGAAGAAAGAGAGAGGAAACAAAAAAAAAACAAAATGGAGAATCTGTTAGGCCTTCTAAGACTTCGTGTGATTAGAGGTGTTAATCTCGCCATTAGAGATACTAAGAGTAGCGATCCTTACGTCATTGTCCGTATGGGTCAACAGGTATATCCCGTACTCCTAACTTTTTCATGAATTTGAGTTTGTACTTTAGTTTTTTTTTTTATAATGTGTTCGTACATTCAAGGTTATCCCGTTTTTGATATGGATCTTTTCTCAGATGTTCTGATGAGAGAATTTCAGTTAAAAAGTGAATATAATCAATTTATTGTGTTATAGACAGAACATACATACGAGTTTCACTTATAGGGTTGATGCAACGCGAGTTTTAAGTATTCAACATGTCAATGTAGTTTAGCTTTTTTTTTTTGGAGTTTAGTTTTGCTAATGAGAAATTCCTATGATTTGAGTTATCATTCGAATTAGTAGTTGTTGTTTCTGACCTTGTCTGTCACAACCATATAAAAATGATTAATTTTATTTTACATGTACAAAATTACACCTGAATATATGGTGTTATGTTTTTTCTTGTTTGACACAGAAATTACGGACTCGTGTGGTGAAAAAGAATTTGAATCCAGAATGGAAAGAAGACTTGACACTTTCAATCTCTGATCCAATTCTTCCTATCAAAATCGTAAATGATTCCTAAATCACAACAACTTGCTCTAAATTTTGAAAAACAGAACATAATATGACAAGAAAGTTTGGTATTTTTTTTGTGTGTAATGGTACAGATGGTTTACGATAGGGACTGGTTCTCAAGGGATGATAAGATGGGAGATGCCTTTTTCCATATTGATCCATTCCTTGAAGCCATCAGGATTCGAAACCAGTTCGGAGGACTCCCCGAAGGAACTGTAATAACGAAAATACAGGCAAACAGGCAGAACTGTCTATCAGAAGAGAGCAGGATTGTGTGGAACAAAGGAAAGATTGTCCAAAATATGTTCCTTAGGCTCCAGAACGTCGAGTGTGGAGAGATTGAGCTTCAGCTTGAGTGGATAGATGTCTCAGGTCTTCTGAGTATAAATGAGCATGAGGATGTTGCTTACTAGATTTATTTTTATATTACAGTAAATTTTGTTAGAAATTATACTCCCTCTGGATTTTAAATAATACATGAAGTTTCAAGAAATTTTTTGTTCCAGATTAGCTGACATTTTCATTTTTCAATATAAATTTTATCAACTTCTTAGGTTATGTGACCATTTGTATTTCACAGTTTATTTTGTCATTAGTCAGTTGTGTTTAGATGAATAATTAATGGTGTTTTTTGTTTAAAAAATATAAAACTTTATATGTTTTCTTAATCTATATGCACTATTCTAAAACGACACGTAATAAAAAATCTGAGAGA